CTCATTGTTTTTAAAATGTGCAGCATAGCTAACCAACACATTTGAAATAACACAAACAGAAAGTTAACCCCTTTAAAGCCTGATCCAAGAATAAAACAAAAATAAATAAAAATAAAACAGAAAATTACTTTTTTTTTGGTTTGAATTCCTTATTTGGCCTTTTAACAAAATATGTAAAAAGAAAAAAACAAAATAAAATGTTGTTATTAATAATTTATCACTATGCGATAAATCAAGATTATTTTTTGTGTAGTCTTCTGCCCCCTGTTATCAGGTGTATCTGATTGTGTACAACAGGATTTTGAGCAAAGTTTTTACCATTAAATTATGCAAAAGGAGTCAGACGCAAAACATTTCAGAAACCGTATCAAATATGATACATTTGGCATTACAGGGTTAAATATTAACAACTTCTCCTGGATGTGAGTCAAAGCACTTTTGGGAGTTTTAGTTATGTGGAATATCAGAGATAGTCCTTTTTGGTATTCCATTGACATGTTTCGTTCAGGATAAAACAATAATTAGTTATTTTCATGCCTCACCTACACCTGATTTTCACTTTCACCATCAAAGACTGCTGTATTTTTATGCATAAAAAGACACACCAGCTGTCCCCTTCCTCACATGAAGACATTCTTTTTTTTTTAAGTATATATAGAGACAAACTTCATTGGCTGAAAGAAGGTTTGTAAGGAAGTCTATAAACAGCTCAAAGCTCGAACCACAACCTGCTTTGTGACATAAAACAAAACAAAAAAAACTTGTTTCAGTGATTATTTTCCTTTTTTTTTAACTTGTTTTTGAAAAGTTTTGGGGCAGCTTGGGGAACAAAGACTCAACGTGGAGCTCAAACTCGACACTCTGAAGAAAGTTTGAGGCAGAGCTGGCCAGAAAAAGGCGAATCAGAGTCTGGATCTGTGAGCGTTTTTCTGCTCCGTTCAGAGCTAAACACGTTATTCTGTGACTGATTAAACGGCCGTTTGATGTCGTTCTCGGCTCCATCGCGCTAAACCCGCTGATATCCAACTTTGAGAGAATGACATATTGTTCGGATACTTGGAAGAACATTAGCTGGGAAGGAAAGTGTGAGCAGAGTTGGATATTTTCTCAGCAGAGGATGGCAGCCTGTCAGAGCTGGCACAGGAAGTGAAAATGGCCTCGAGTGTCTGGCGTCCCTCCATGTTTTTCTCCACATCAATGACAGCTCTCCATGCATCATCTCCCCCTCTCTCATTCACCGTCTCTACACTCAAATGTGCCGCTTTTATCTTGTTCTGTGGCTATTTCTCTGTGAACATTAAGGTAAGTGTTTGGAAGGACAGAGGGATAAATTAATCAGACTGTTATTCTTCCTCATACACCTCATGCAAACGGATGGTTTAAAGACATTTTTTTTAGCGTCCTCCTCTGTCTGTTGGTTTATATTAGAGCGCATTACAGTTTGGCTCTGCCCAAAAGTAAAAGCGTTTAAATATAAACAGATAAATCTGCTCGTTCACTCATTTACATATGAGGTTTGTTTAATCGATGCTACATCCTGATCAAAACGAGTTGTGTTTTGCTCCTCACAGCTCTCAAAAAGAAGTTAGGTTGACATAAGTGTTCCTTAAAGGAAAAAAATGCTGTTGATTTCTGTGTGGAAATGAAAAAATGTGGAGCATATGTGAATGTACCAATACAATCGTACACAAAGCTTTACTTATTGAGATTTTTGGATTAGATAATCAGACTTATTCTTTCCACACCTCATCCACGAACGGCAGGTTTAAAGCCATTTTTTAGCGTTGTTATGAAAGCGTCTTCCTCTGTTTGTTGGTTTATATTAGAGCGCATTACAGTTTGGCTCTGCCCAAAAGTAAAAGCGATTAAAAATAAACAGATAAATCTGCTCGTTCACTCATTTACATATGAGGTTTGTTTAATCGATGCTACATCAGGATCAAAACGTGTTGTGTTTTGCTCCTCACAGCTCTCAAAAAGAAGTTAGGTTGACATAAGTGTTCCTTGAAAGAAAAACTGTTGTTGATTTCTGTGTGGAAATGAAAGAATGTGGAGCATACGTGTATGTACCAATAAAATTGCACACAAAGCTTTACTTATTGTGATTTTTGGATTTCAAATAGTCTGGACAGAGTTAAAAAAAACTTCTGTGGTTTAACAATCTGATTTGATAAATTAAGATATTCTCACGCAGGAAAAAGAACTTGTGACGTTGATCCACTGCTCAAACGTTAAAAAAGAAAACGTTAGACAGAAACAGGCGGCATGTTATCATGGAAACGATCAAATCTAGAATGAGAATCAAGTAGAAGTCCAATTCAGGCCGACGTCTTCCAAGAACTTTTCATTTTCACCCTTTTTCATATATTCTTTGGACTCTGACACAATATCCTGATGTGAAATACTGCATACATGAGAAATTAATTATTTTCTATATCCCTCCATTCAATGGAAAATGCCTTTTACGTGAGCATTAGTGGAGGGGCTTCATTTTAGCACCAAAAGATAACACTTAAGAGTTCCTTAGCTAAGCTAACCATAAAAAAAATCAACTTAGCTCAAGTAAAGATCTTTTCAAATGTTCTAAACTACAATCTCAGTGTCTTATGTGGTTCTCATGGTGTCCCGTCCTGCTTTTCCAAACAGTAAGATGGCAAAGTTGTGTCTCATAAACTTCTGATTCTGTTTCTGTGCTTAATACATTTGACTTTACCAGTCCAATTGTGTTTCCTACCTTGAACCACTGAGCAATTTTTTGGACACTTTAACATAATTCTGACCATACGATTTACTCCAGTCTTCAGCAATGCATCACCAACTAGAGTTAACAAACCGTGGTCATTTTACTGGTAGAATAAAAGAAACTGGCTACAGAAACTCGACCAGATTATCCGTAATTAATGCTAAACACTTTCAAACTACCAAGTTTTGAATATTTCCAATTTAGTCTTTAATATACAGATGTTTTTCTTTTTTTCAATTAGATCTAAGTCTTGTCTTTATCCTCCATACAGGGAAGATGGCTTTAAACGTAAATATCCCCTAATAGCAGCACTAAACCTCCCACCAGCTCCTCTCTTTACTGTCTTTGGATCTTTGACTGTCACAAGGACCAACAGCACCAATTATCCCAAATTTATGCTCAACCATTTCAAACTACCAAGTTTTTAACGTTTCCAATTGAGTCTTTAATGTTCCTGTATATGTCTTTTTTTCAATTAGATCTCAGGTCTGTCTTTATCCTCCATACAGGGAAGATGGCTTTAAACGAAAATATCCCCTAATAGCAGCACTAAACCTCCCACCAGCTCCTCTCT